TGTTAAAAACACCCAAATATTTAGAAATAGAAATAATTAAGATTAATAGAAGTGCCCAAACCTTTTCATATGTATGTATGTTTAAAAGAAAAAAAACAGCTAAATAAATTTAGACTGAAAGTGAGTGAAATGTTTCAAAATCCCTCCAATTAAACAACATGACATAACAGGATGTGTTCATGGTGAAGCGCTGCTTACCATCTTCTAGGAACTGAATGTCTGATGTGTCCAGGTTATGATCTGTCTCAAACAGCTGTTTACCTACAGAGAAAAAGATTGCACCTTTTAATGGAAGCAGGCAGAGCTGTGAGCTTAGAAAGAAAAGTGAAACATGCTGGTGAAGATTCTCAGTCATCCAGGTCAGTCATTCCAAAAAAGTAAACAAAAAAAAATCCAGTGGACTTTGTTTCTAAGATTGAAGACGTTTCTCTTCCACCAAGGAAGCTTTTTCAATTCAAAATGTCAGAAATAGCGTTGAGTTCCAGGTTTTATAAAGCAGGTCAACAAAGCCTTGTTTTTGTTTAGAAAAAATGCAAATAGAAACAGATGAACGGGTCCATCCCTTTGGATTGGGGGTCGTTTGGTTTCTTTGTTAGCCTGTAATGCCCCATACCATGGCTCAAAAAGTTGAATTTTAGTAATTCACTTTGTTGAAGTGTTCTAGGAAGCCAAACGACCCCCATTCCAAAGGGGTGGACTCGTTCGTCCATTTCATTTTGCATGTTTTCTAAACAAAAACAAGGCTTTGTTGGGCTGCTGGATAAAACCTGGAACTCAACCCAATTCCTGACATTTTGAAATGAAAAAACTTCCTGAATGGAAGAAAAATGTCTTCAAACTTGGAAAGACAGCCCAGAGGATGTTTTTTGATTTAATTTGGAAAAGTGAAACAGTATTACCTGTTAGTTTAAGTTTTCCAGCTTGCTCCTCCTCCTTTTGTTTTTTCCGTCTGAACTCTGCCATCTCAAGATCAAACTTGGCTTTCCATGCTAAAAAATTTTCAATTGTCACCACTGTGCCCTGAAACGCCACCTGTCAAACACAAACACTCATCACTGTGCTGCACTGATCCCCACACACACTGCTCCAAACATGCATATAGAGAATGAAGAAGACGCACCCCCATCCTAACTGGTAATCATTACACACACTAACAAAAATCCAGCATCAAACTTTTTCTATAACAGCAACAAAAACAGCAATTTGGTGAAAGCAAACGATGTCGTTTTCCTTTTTTACCTTCTCTGCTTCTTCTGCCTCCTTTTCTTTGCGAAGTTTTTCCTCTTCTTGTCTGTTTTTCATTGCATCCACTATTTCGTTTAATTTCTCCTGAACAGCTGTCACCAGGGTGAAAATCATCACCATCCCCAGGTTCTCTTCAGCCTGCATAGTTAGGACAGAAAATGTTGGTACAAATATACAGTTTGCACCTGGATCTACGTGGAACACGTTGGGTCTTATTTAGACCTGAGATTAAAAAGCAAACAGACTGATTGTTTCCATTTAACTGCTTTATTGCAACAAAACATTATGGAAACCTAGTTTGTTTTTTCACCGACTGTAAAAAAGTGGCTCCTTTAAAAATACTAGAGATGATATGAGATGAGCCGAGGCCTTGAGGAGTGTGTCGAGTACTGGAGAGGGCGTTTCTGCGAGGTGCGTATCGAGACTTGCTTCATTTGGGGGAGGAGCCAAAATAGATGACGCCCGAAGCCTCGCTACCCGCCGTACCATGTGACCGCCTCAGAAAGATCTGAGCAAAGCACTGGTTATGATTAGAACATTGGTATTAAGTAGTATTGCTTTCTAATGTGCAGTTACCATCGCTAGTGGCTTCAGCTGGAAGACATCAACTTCCAATCCTGAGGTTGTAGATTTAAGACCAACTTTTGACTTTTGAAAGAGGAAACTTATTTATTTTGGCTAATGTGACTAATTTGTATTCGGTTGCCGTTGTATCAATATAGATTGGATAAAAACACTTTATTAGATCGGTTGATTTAGCCATAAGATCAGAGGAGTCAAGTACAAATACTTCATTG